GCAACTTATCAGGACCCTAAGCAACTAAGCCAGCCCCTGTCTCAAAAAACAAAAAGAGCTGGAAATTTGGCTCAGTGGTTAAGTGCCCCTGGGTTCAAAAACAACAAAAAACAAAAAAGCAAAACGAACAAACCCCCAAAATGCCCAGCGAGAATGTCTCCCTCTTGCCACAGGTTTCCAAGTCACAACCCCTCTGTAAAGGCCACCAGCCCTTCCCCTCCCCGAGCCTTGGCCAGACTCTTTCAGGTGACTTTGTGTAGCCACCTGGGCCCTCTGCCTCCTTCTGTTGGCACCTGTGAGGGCAATACGCATATTAATTGCATATGCTTCTCCAAGTGTGATTTTGTTTTTTCACAATTTTCTTAGCACTGTACTTAATATTAAATTGTGATGAGACAGAAGTCTTGACTCTAGTGACTCCACTTTGTGAAACAGCCGTGCCAACTAGAAAGGTTACAACTGGGGTAAGTTGTTTTCCCTTTGTTGTGGAGACCCTCAGGAACATGAGGTGTCTACCTGAGCTGTTTTTGGAACTGGGCTTTTCTGATTGGCTAAGCTTCCCTTCACCTGACTGCAATCTCCTGCTTCTGTGACTTGGCTTGCTTGCATTGGCCAAACCCCTTAATGTCCCTTTTGTGGGGATTGCCACTCTGACCATCTTGCTTTTAGAGAGTAGAGTGTCAGCTGGTGGTCAGCAATGAAGGCTTAATTGGAATGGCAATGTGTGTTCTGAGAGTTATTTGAGAGTCGGTATAACAATAACATTAAGGAGCAAACTACATTTAAGGGAGAACAGCTCTGCATTTTAGGAATTATTTGAGAAGGATATGGTATGGATAAATGAAACAAGTCTCATAAGGAAGAAGCCAAGAAACCAGGGTGATCTTAAACATGTATTACTTCATATTAAATGATAACAGTGTTGTTCACATTATTCAGAAGGTTTTCCTTTTTTCCCATTTATTTATTTGGTACCAGGGATTGAACTCAGGGGCACTTGACCATTGAGCCACACCCCTAGCCCCATTTTGTATCTTACTCAGAGACAGGGTCTCACGGAGTTGCTTAGTGCCTTGCTTTTTCTTGAAGTGGCACCCCCTTCTCCACAGAAAAGTCTTAACTGGGCTTCTCCAGAAATCTTCACCATGGCTGATTTAAAGACTGTCAGCAAAAGTCTCTGCAAAAGAGTTCAATATAGATAATCTTTCTATTTTCGTGTTGCCCTGTTTTACTTGGCCACTGGCGGGGAAGATACCAGCACTCCAGGTGCTGGACACCCCCTTACTAGTTTTTCACAAACATGTATCCAGTATAGTAGTTTGTAGAAATGTGCAAACAAGGCCTCTGGCCTTGAGCTGGGCTTCACAGAGATGTCTACATTTTTAAGATAAATTACCAACTGGGCTCCATGGTAACAGCTGGCAGGGGGAGGAAAGAAAGGGGAGAAGAAGCTCTCCCCTTTTCAGGTGTTGTCCTTGAAGAGTTCACTTGCCCAGGACAGTGAAAGAAAAAGCTGCTTTATGTGGACTTCTGCAGACTGTGAACTTCTGAGCCTCTCCCCTTACATGCTGGGTATAAAACTCTGAAACTACCTGAACTTGGGGTTCAGGGGATTGATTGATTACAGCAAAAGCTGTGCCCTCTGAACCAGGCTGCAGCCAAATAAAACTGTTTCCTGCTATCTTTGGTGCCTTGCCTCATCTGTCCCTACAACAATCTGAGGCTGGCTTTGTACTCAAAATCCTCCTGCCTCAGCCTCCCCAAACCGCTGGGATTACAGGCATGCACCACCATGCCCAGTTTTTTTGTTTGTTCTTAATCAAAGTAACATATGCATATAATTTTTAAACTCTGAGGATGGCTAAAAGTGCATAATACAATCACTGATCTGCTTCTCTTCTTTCCTGTTTCCTCCCCTCCTCTACTCCCCAAAGGCAGTCACAAGAGTCGTTTTATCTTAATTTACCTGCATCTCTGTGTTCTCAAATGCGCACATTCTGCCCCCTCCTCACAGCAGGTCTTATTGCTGTTCATTCATTAGTCACTGGCGCCCCATGGCAGGAGAGGGTCTGGCAATCTTCCTGCTGCCCCCTCCAGCGCAGTGACCCCGGGGCCTCATCTCTGAGGTGCGCTCCCCAGCCCTGTTTGGCTCCGAGAGCACCAGCTGGGTTGCAGGGCTGGCCTGACCCAGCTGCCCATGCCCGGGCCTCGGTGGAACCTCTTGAACCCACTGTCCCGCCCACGCCCACCCCTGCAGCGGGCCACCTTCTTGGTGAAATCCCCCCTCCGTCTCCGTGACCGTGCAGGGACACTGCTAGCCTGGGGCAGGTGGGCGTCTGGAAGGACACTTGCCCTGCTTCCCTGCTCTCCTGTCTTCCTTGGGGTCTCTGCCACGACACCCCGGGTCCAGAGCCGCACCAGCGCCCCTCCAGCTTTTCTGCAGCAGGAAGCCTCCTGCCCTGGCTCCCCATGACGTCACCGGCAGCTCCTGGGCCTGCCTTCCCAGTGGCTGGTCTCTGGCGGTAGCCCCGGTAGCTGGGAAAGGACAAGAACTCTTGTTTGCTGATTTCTTGGTCTTACTGTTCAAGTCCAAGTCCATATCCTGTTCCCTGTGGCTTCATGATGGCCCTGAGAGGTGAGGGACAAGCTCCTGATTGAACAGCAGGGTCCCTGGCTAGTGCAGCTCGCTGTGGGCGCCTGCCAAGCATAGCTGGGCGGGTCAGGCCCCCAGTGCATGGGCGGGGTCCTCACTCAGAAGTCGGCCAGCCATCTCCATTGCCCCCGCCCTTTCCCATTGCTGTCACTTTTCATTATTAAATATCACCCTAATCCAGCCTGGTAAGCACAGCACCTCATCTCTCTGCTCATATAAATTACAACTTCCCCGAGGATTTCTTCTGCTCCGCCACCCGGAATTTGGCCATCCTCTCTCCTGATTAAAATTACTGTTAAAGTGGTGTATGCTGCGGCTCTGCGGCCTCAGGGCACACAGTGGAGCCACTTGATGATCCTCAAATGAGCTGATGCGCAGGCCATGGAGGATATTTTCAGCAGCCGAGCGGCTACTTCCACTGAGACTCACCTCTGGGCCTCCCAGGAATTAATCAGGGATGGTCTTCCTTTATTCAGACTCCAAGTCACCTCACCCTTATGGGCTGCAGTTGTCTGCTCTGCACAGCAGAGATAAAACCTACTCACCTTCCCAGTCCCATACTGTGCTTGCTAGTTCCTGGGGAGTCCTGCCAGCCTCCCACAGAGGGATTACAGGTGACAGTGCCATGTCACAGACTTCCCCATGCAGAGAGGGTTAAGTTTGCTAATGGCCTCACTAAGTTGCTGAGGTTGGCTTTGAACCCATGACCCTCCTCTCTGCATGGGGAGGTCTGTGACATGGCACTGTCACCTGTAATCCCTCTGTGGGAGGCCTGGGAGGCTGGCATACATATGTGACTCTCATTTAAAACTAAAAACTTTTCAAAAAGTGATTTGCCTGCAGTCTTGCCCAGTTTAAGTAAGACACATCACATTCCTCAGCTGCAACATGTTATCTCTGGAAGAAACGCAGGACCACAAGGCTCCTATCTGCCATAAGAACACAAGTGACCTGGGGATGGGAGTGACACTTTCACAGACCAGATTCCAGAACCTGAGGAGACAGGTTAATTCCCCCTAACTATAAGATCTATAAGAACAAGTTCCAGTTAGAACCAATCAGTGTGGGCCAAAATGACCTGGGATCACTTTGGGTCTTTAGTGCAACTATAAAAAAAAAAAAAATTCCATTGGAACTTGAAAGTGTGATGCAATCCCGATGTCAGTCAGAAATCAAGAGGTGGAGCTGGGTAGGACTCTATCACCTGAGTGCGAGGTAGATGAACTTGAAGAGATAAGTCTATGAAGTAGACATACTATGCTGTGTCCCCCCAAACATGCTTCCTTTAGAGATACCCAAGACACTCTGACACTGCTGTCTAAACTCATTAGGATGCTACATTCCTGCACAGTGGGCCTGTTATGTTATAGCAAGTCTCTCATGGCCAAGGAATGCACCTCCACAGACTTCTTACCATCAATAAGAACACTTTACCTTGAAAGGGGACTTTGCCACCTAGGTAATGACCAAAGAGTTGAAGATAAGTTAACAAGATAATTAAAAGAAAAGCCCACTGACCACAAAATCTGTCAAAACAATTAGTTGTAATTAGAACTGGTCTGCTCGGGCCAACATGACCAAGCATTGCATCAGATCTTTAGCAGATCATTTTAATTTTTTCATGAGTTTTTGTTACAGTAAAATCTGACTCCCCAGATGGATTTTGCCTGAGTACCTCTGGACAAGACCATGTTCAGGAGGAACTTGCAACCCTCATGTAATCCTACTGTAAGCTAAGACTTAGGCGGGACTGTGGGAATCCCCATGAGAACTCAGGAAGCCTGGGGGGCCAAGGCGGGTGAGAGTGATGTCTCCCTTCCCCTCCCCCCCTCCTGATACTGACTGGCTTTCTAATGAATTTTGCCACACTTCACCTACATTTTACAACTCATCTGAAATACTCTTCTTCAAGATTACAACAGCCTGCCACAACACAACCCCAAACCCCAGGACCACAACCAGCAACAATGCCAGCCCTGTTTTTAAATTTTGAGGTAGTGTCTTGCTAAGATGTTGAGACTGGCCTCAAGGGTTTCTTCTTAGTCAGCCTCCCACATACTTGGGCTTAGAGGCATGTGCCACCAAACCTGGTCCCTTGTCTTTTTTTTAAATTTAATCTAAGTTGCTGGTTATCGACCCCCAGAATATAAAAAACACATAATTCCAGTGTAAAACATGAATCTTGCTAAATGAGGTAACATAATGGGATACTTGAGAAAGGGAGGGACGAAGAAAGACAGACTCTTGAGACCACTTCCTGGGACCCACATGTAGCACAGAGAAAGAAGCATCAATTCAGAAGACATGGGGACCTGGTATGCAAGGCAGAACAGAATTTGAGCACTTATCAATCAGAGACATGGGCAGATTTATTTAGGAATGTAGATACATAGTCACAGAATGCAGGACATCTCCAAGGGAGATACAGCAAACCACTGGGTAGTGTTATTTATAGAGGGACATTAGGTGAGGGCTGGACTAGAGGTGGAATCAGAATTGTGATTTCACACATTTTTCTAGGCTTGCTCATTGTCCAGGTATCATGTTAGTATTTTGGGAGCACAGATAGTGGCATCAAAAGAATTCTGGTTTTCTTAGAAGTTGCTTGTTTTTAATGTCAAAACTTCATGGGCATTTCCTGTATTCTAGTGGTTTATGGACCTTGTACTTTTGAGACTTAGTTAATCTTCTTTGTGTCCCAAATTCCTATCTCAGCCAGACACAGCACACAGTTTCTCATGGGCCCCAAGAGTTGCTAGAATAATCATCAAATTATCACTTGGTTAGTAAAGCAGGCCAGGTGAGAACTAGGCTTCCATTTCCCATGGGTTTCCTGTGGACCGCAACTGCCAGCTGTCCCCGAGCTGATCACTGGCAGGCACTTGCAAACTTACCTTCCTATATCCTCCCTTGAGACCACTTCCTACAATACTCACCCAGCAGCCACCCCAGGCACATGGACTCTGAGGTTGGGTCCTACAGCCCCTGTGCCCACTTGAGTAAATGGATGCTCCCCCTCCCTAGCATAGGGGCAGACTCCAGGATTCAGGCCCTTATGTGAGAGGTAGGTGGCGCTGCTGTTGGACTAGACCAGCCTCTGCTGCCCGTATGGGCATTAACCATACACATCCTGGGTTGCTCCCTTTGCTGCAGCCCAGCAGGGGCACAGGGATTGAAGTGATTCAGTGTCACCCAGAGTGGTGGCAGAGGTGAAGGGGGTCCTTTATATTTTCATTTTTTTCCTACATGCAAAGGCTGTTTCAAGCCATTTGTAGAAGCAGCTGCCCCAACCTTAGCACCTTCTTTCTGGCCTGTCCCCAGGGGTTATTAATCCCCCTGTTTCCACCTTCACTGAGACAAAACATGGCTTTCAGAATGTGACTTCTTTATGGGGGCATAATTGCCTACTCCTCTGGCCTAGATGTCCCATTGGATGGATAGCTGATAAGAACTCAGCCAAGGGGAAGGGGTGATGTTAGCATTGGTTAAATGGGCATCTGCAGACAGAAGTTATGTATGCTGAAGGGATTTTTGCAGCTGAGAAAATAGCAGTGTTTTTTACTTTTGCAATGTTGGCAGATGGGAGTGGCTGTCCCTGCAAACATTTGGCATGTGACCACCCTCGGCTGGCTTCCTACTTACTCAGGTGGAAGGCAAGCATCAGGGGTGGCTGTGCTGTAAGAAGAATACTTATGGCAACAGAGGGAGGCATTTTTGGAGGTTCCCTTCCATGACCCTAGTATGTTCTCCCTTGAGAGACCTCCAGGCAAGACGTGGCACTTACTAAAACAATAGCAAAGTTTATGAAAAGGGATAGAAAAGCCAGGCCCAGTGGCATACATTTTGATCCCAGTCGCTTGGGAGGATGAGGCAGAGGGATCACAAGTTCAAAGTGAGCCTCAGCAACACAGGAAGGCCTGAAGCAACTCAGCAAGACTTTGTCCCAAAACACAGTATAAAATAGGGTGGGCCTGTAGCTCAGTGGGGAAGCACCATAGGGATCAATACCTAGAACCAAAATGAATAAATAAAGATATGAAAAAGGGCAAAGAGGACACTCTCAAGCAAGGTAGTAGGTCCTCTCAGGATCGTGCACCACACTGCCTTGTAGTTTAATTGTGAGTCCCAGTGAAATCTACGAAAAGTCCTATTTTTAACTGCTCATTTGGGGTTACTCATGAAAATCAACCTATCTAAAAAACCTAGTTACCATTTTAAGTCATCTTTTTCCTACCAAAGAAAAACTTTAAAAGTGATGGACACTGCTTTTAAAAACATCTGTGCATGGAAGTAAAATTCTTGCCTTCGTGTCAGGACCCCCACTATTTCCAGCACTTATGGCAGGGACCAGCCAATTGGGGGCTTTGCCCCAGCCCAGCATCACACCATAAGGTGTCCGTAGAGCAATGGCAGTGCAATGGTCTATGGGACTCAGCTGGACTGGTCAGTGAACCAAGCACTGGTGCCCAACAGGGCTTTTCCTTCCTTGAAGGACGATGGCTGTCTGCTCACATGTATCAGCAGGGTGTGCTGTTTGCTCAGGTGCACACTGCACCTGCCCTAGGATCTTTTGGTGCACACTGCACCTGCTCTAGGATCTTTTGGAGCACACTGCACCTGCCCTAGGATCTTTTGGTGCACACTGCACCTGCCCTAGGATCTTTTGGAGCTCATGGGATAAAGGACCAGTGCACAAAGCACTCCTTTGTCCCAAATATGCCCCCACTTTGGTGGGGTGGTGTCTGAGTTACTTTCATCCAATTCATGCACCATGGGAACTGCTGCATGCAAAGAAGGCACCACTGCATTCACCCTACAGAGCAGTTATTTTCCAAGTGCCATCAGGCTTCTTTACCACCTGGGACTGTTATGCTACCAATCACTGTCTCAGGGAGGGACGGGAGTGATAAAGGATATATACTCCTTCTCCCCTGGACTACAAACTGTTAGCATCACTGCAGCCATCTTCCTTTTCCCCACCGCCACTTTATGAGTACTGTTCTTATTCCCAAGAAATAGAAAGTAGCCTGAGATAAAACCTACCAGCTTGGAGACATGCTGGTCTCTCCCTGAGGGATAGGAGACAACTTACCTGCCCCTCAGATAGGGACGTACCGGTTTCCCTGTTCTCTCCTTGAGAAGATAAAGGGACGTACCAGTTTCCCTGTTCCCGCTTTGCTATGTCAGTCAAGACTAAACTTGCCCCTAGCACATGGCCACGATTCTAGCCTATAAAAAGGTAGCATCCAAGGGGGAGTTGTGGCTGCTGTCCCTCTCTGTGGGACTTCTTATCTCATGTGTGTGTGTGATTGGTCCTGCACCACTTTTCTTTCTCAAACAACGAGGTGCACCCCAGGTTGCCATGGACTTAAAGCTCATGCTCCCAGGGAGTGATTTCTCTTTCCTCTTGAGTTCCTTCTGGGATCTGCTAAAGACCACATCTGCAAATCAGTGGGGACAGAAAGCTCCTCGGAGCCCTTTGCAGAAGGCTAAGGCTAAGAGTTGGGCCTGGTGGGGAATCTATTTTAGTTCTACAGGTGAACCAAGAAAACACAGCCCTCTGTGTTCAGTTTTCATGTGTTTAGTTCAGTGCCAGCTTAGGTCTGACACTATGCCAAGTATTTTCTAGTCTCCTCCTCCTCCTCCTTTTTGTCCTTTGAGGCTAGAGAAAGGTGTTTAAATTTTTTGTTTTCTAATGCCAGACTTTAGAACCTGAGCTGCAGCCCAGCCCTCCTCATGTTTTTTTTTTCCCCTCCTGGCCTTGGAACTCACAATCCTCTTTACCTATGCCTTCCAAGTTGCTGGGATTACAGGCATGTGCCACCATGTCTGGCTTGTCATGTGCTTTTATTGGCTCAGAGAGAACCACTATCCACATTTCAATTATCCAGCTTCAATATTAGGCTTGGGAAGGTTCTATACCTACTGGAAATCTGACAGAGAATGGTAGTATCTTGTCCTAAAGGAAATTATTCTGCAGGGTTTAAGGCCAAAAGAATTCTTTTCTTTGGCAAATAACCAGCATCAGTAGTAGAAGTAAAAACTGTGAATGTAAGCTAAAACTGTTCTCTTCTTGGTGACTGTAGTGTCGTGTTCTTTTTTTCCTGTGTTGATGAAGATTTCCAAGTCTTAGCTGGGGTTGCATCGGGTCCCACAGTTCACAAGTTTTCCTGAACACAAGGTAGGCATAGCTGCAGAAAGTTCCTCAGGTAGAAAAGAAACTGCATAAAAATAAGAGTTTCCTTGTACTGTGGACAATTCCAGCTCTTGTTCTGTTTAATCCAGAGATGGTGAGACTGGGTCTGGCCACAAAAAAAAGTATAAACAGGAAATACTTACCAGACTCTTGAAGCCCGCCATTTTTCCTACTTCATTAGGGAAGCAGTAGATATAGGTGAACTCTCAACCTGGCGTATCAATTTGTTGTGGACGATAAATGAGCAGGGAGGTGACAGGAACACACTCTTCAAGGGCACACAGAATCATGCAGGATGGCTAGGGAGATGCATAATTTTCTGCCTTCATCAAAAGGACATAAATTTCCAAAGAAGAAAAATATACAGACACTGGAAAAGGGAAAGAGATGGAAAGGAGTTAAAAAGGTAAAAAAAGAGACTAAGAAAACCTGACAAAAAGAAAGTTAGATGGACAGGAAGAAAGAAATTTAAAAAAAGACAAAAAAAAAAAAAAAAAAATCTCTCCTCAGTTCCAGTCAGTATTCCTACAAAGCTGCACAACATTGGAAGGTGGTCGAGTGGGGTTAGCTGCTATGGAAGCGTATTGCAATCCAGTTCTCTAGGTCCTCGTAGCATGTTCAGGAAAGACAGCAGGTGTTCTGGGATGCTATCACTGGGACTTTCTTTCTCTCCAGAGTGAATTCTCTTGTGTCGAGTAAGGTGTGCCTTTCGAGTAAAACCTTTGCCACATTCTTCACATTTGTAGGGCTTCTCTCCTGTATGAATTCTCTGGTGTTCAGTAAGGTACCCTCTTTGGGTAAAATGTTTGCCACATTCGTGACATTTATACGGTTTCTCTCCAGTATGAAGCCTCAGGTGCTGAGTAAGGTGTGATCTTCGATTAAACCCTTTGCCACACTCTTCACATTTGTAGGGCTTTTCTCCAGTATGAATTCTCTGGTGTTTATTAAGATTTGAGCTTTGATTAAAATCTTTTCCACATTCTTCACATTTATAGGGCTTCTCTCCAGTATGAATTCTCTGGTGTTGAGTAAGGTATGCTTTTCGATTTAGACTTTTGCCACATTCTTCACATTTGTGGGACTTCTCTCCTGTATGAATTCTTTTGTGTTGTGTAAGGGTTGAAAAATTCTTAAAAACTTTGTCACATTCTTTACATTTGTAGGTTTCCTTACTGCTATGCAATCTCAGGTGTTTAGAAAAGTTTGAGCATTTTTTAAAGGATTTGCCACATTCTTCACATTTGTAGGGTTTCTCTCCACTATGAGTTCTGTGGTGCTTAACAGGGGGAGGTCCTCGATTAAAAGTTTTGCCACATTCTTTGAATTTGTAGTGTTGATCACTGCTATGGTACCTATGGTGTTTAGAAAGGGGTGAGCAACTCCATGCTTGGACACATTCCTTAAATTTAGGGGGCTCCCTTCCAGGATGAGCTCCACTGTATTGAGGAAGGCTAGCAGCTGGGTTAGAAGCTCTCTCACATTCCTCACATTTGCAAGGCGCCTCTTGGCCCTGAGTACTTGAATGGGTCATCAGCTTTGAGCACTGAGGAAAGACGTTCCCACATTCGTCATCTCTGTAAAGGTTCTGTGCACAATGAGCACACTGATGTTCTCTTATATTGCAACCAGAGCTAGAGTTCTCCTGTGTTTTGCTACATTCGTAATTGTTTTCTCCAACATAAGTATGCTGGTTGCTTAGGGTAGAGACCTGGCTGAAGGTGTTGCTTGTTTCATTACATGTGTTACACACTTTCCAGTAATCTATATTTGAATTTTCATTAAGCAGTATGGAGTACATAGGGGCCTTCCCACAATCATTAAAAGTGTATGTTTGGGAACAAGAAAGAATTCTTTGTTCATCACAGAATAATGGATAATTTGTAAAGAAACTTTCAAAATGATCACTTTTAGAAACTTGTCCTTCAGTTATGCATTGAATACTTTTCTGAGGCACTAAATGTTCTTCAGGTGTGTTGACAGTAAAATTTTCATTAGGTGCAGTCACTACAAATTGGTCTTGTCCATCATAATATGATTTCTGACCTTCACTCTCAACTGCAATGTCCTGTACTTTCTTTTGTTGTAAAAAGCCAAGGTCACAATTTCCATATATTCTGTTTATCACTTTTATAAATAAATGTTCTATGCCAGGCTCTGGTGAAATTTCCTGGGTATGATGAGAAGTCATGGCTGAAATAAATAAAATTTTTACATATTAGACTGAAAATATACTTTGCAAATATAACATAAAATTATTGCAGTCAGAATATCAGCAGGGTGGCAGAATAGTACATCAAAGACCATCATTACTCCATAAATATATGAGCTAAATAACAATGGACAGACGAAATTACTTTCTGAGAATTAGCCAAACCATCTGAGAGTTCACAATATTCAAGATGAGTACATCATTAGGAGAGTAATATACTCTACAAGTCATCCTCCTTGAGAATACACCGTTGTACAATTAGGAAAATCCACCCACTTAAACTATCTTCTATGTACCATGACAGAGACCTGGATGTAACAGATTTTGCATGACAATAACACAGATATTCAACATGCAGATTTAATATCCTCTGGATAACCATTTAAAGCTTGCATTTCTGGATCATGCATTGTATTTTTAATTTTTTTGTGTAATGCTTAAGATCAAACCCAAGGGTGTTGTACCACTGAGTTAAACACAAGCCACTTCAAAATTAAATTGTTTGAGATATCATGGGACATGCCTCAAACATAAAATCCTCTTGCACATCCTTCCTATTACCTGGGTTAAAAGTATGTAGCACTGTGCTTCCCTATTCTTCAATTCTTTACTAACTTCTATATTGTTTTCTAAAATTACTACTATTGGCTGGTTTTTAAATGGGTGAATAAAAAGTAATACAGTACAAAAAGAAAAACGGACACTTGGTTTAATAAAAGGAACAAAACACTAGAAAATTCACAATTAGGAAAATAAGAGTTACAAATTACCCAAAGAACCTAAAAAAACATTTGAAATAAGTTAACTAATCCAGAACACAGAAAATTGAATAAAATTCAGACAAAATCATTAGTTGAAACATACAAAAGTTGTGTAATTGAAGAATTTCTTCAAAAATACTGTCTGAGAGAGTCAGGGATGTTTGTGCACAGCTGTAATCTTAGTAATGTGGGAGGCTGAGTAAGGAGGATCACAGTTTGAAGCCGTGCAGCAATTTAGTAAGATACCATTAAAAAAAAAAATAAAATAAAATAAAAGGCCTGAAGAAAAGGGCAGTGGAAAAGCAACTGAGTTTAATCTCTAGTATCAATAAAAATAATCTGATAATAGTATAAATAGGAGCAAAAACCCATATCTAAACAAGATCAAGAAGCTCAATTACCTTCTAAGTAGGAAAAACACTAAAGACTCGAAGCACATTTTACTCAATTTTTCAATATTCACAAAGAATCTTGACAGCATCAAGAGTAAAAGATGTGCCAATGAGAAAGGTACTTGAGTGTGATAATTAATCAATTTCTTAGTAGAAGCCTGAAATTCAGAAAGGAGCTAGGGAACACTGTGAAAGGGGTGAATGGACAGAATGATGGAAATAACTGTGCCATCAATAACCATTTTCAAAGGATATATAAATATGCTGAATTTTATTATGAAACTCAAGTTAATTTGTTGCCAGATTAAAATGTAGTGTAAGATTAAAATGATTCTTATAAAAATCCCAAAGTAAATGACAAAACAAATACACACAAAATAAAGGAAAGTGAAAGAGGAATCAAAGAATGTTACTATAGCAGTTAATGAATCACAAGTTAAAGCAATAGGAAAGAAAAAGAATAACAAGAAGCAAAGGAAACATAAAAAAATACAGTTTCATGTAGTCTACTGGAGACTCTAAATCTAAGGACGTAATGTGGAGGCAAAAGTATATAAGAATAGTACACACAAAACTGACTGGAACTGGTGTGGCAATAACCATCACATGGAAAACATACTTTAAGACAAAAACTTACGAGATATATTTTATATCAAATGTAATTTTATTGGCAATAGAAACAAAGACAAAAAATAAAATTGAGCCTGGGGTTGTAGCTCAGTGAACACTTGAGAATGCTTAGAGCGCTTGCCTATAATGCGAGAGCACTTGCCTAGAACGCGAGGCCCTGGGTTCAATCCTTAGCACCACTAAAGATAAATAAATGAAATAAAGGTATTGCATCCATCTATAAGTTCAAAAAAAGTATTAAAAAATAAAATTAAAGAAATATCAAATATAATTTTATTGGCAGTGGAAAAAAGGGTCAGGAGTGTCTTAATTTCATTTTACATTGTGCTAATTGTGAAATATTAGAAATTGCAATTGAATCATAAAATGTAGGAAAAAACAAAAACACCATTAACTCATGTGAGGAAATCTACACTACAACATTAAATCTACCCTATAAAATGAAACAGAGAAAAGGCAAATGAAAATGGAAATTTAAACAACAAAATTCTGAATAACCATGGATGCACTATTTTACAAATCCTTTTATATAACTGTAATTTTCACCTATGACCATATATACCCAAAATGAGCATTCACTGTGAATCACTGACATTCATATGATAGAAAAATTCCACAGAAAATCCAGTATTTTCTTCTTTCCTTCCCTCCTGCCCTCTCTTTGAACTTGGAGGCACTTTACCACTGAGCCACATCCCCAGTCCTATTATGTATTTTAATTAGAGTCAGAGTCTCACTGAGTTGCTTAGTTCCTCACCATGGCTGAGGCTGGCTTTGAACTCGCGATACACCTATCTCAGCCTCCTGAGTGTGTGCCACTGTACCCAGCAGAGAATTTCAATGAATAAACATATAAGTGACATTAGAGAAACTTCTTTATGATACTACAAAGACTTCACCCAGAGCTTTCCAGAAATGTGCATAGGTTTCCAAGAAATGCCCCAAATAATGGAAATGCTGTCAGATCACGATGACCCTCACAAGCAAAGGGGAGTGTTTGAGCTGTTAATCTTAAAACATTGTGACATCAGTACAGTAGAAGCAGGAGACTGAAGAGGTTGAAAGCATGCTAAACACAGGGCAGTACCTGTCCTTGTAGGATAGAAAGAGAACAAATCTAAGCTCCTGGAAAACCATTTCTGTGGCATGATAACCTCTCCATCAACATTTGGAAGTTTGGATTCCTCCTTGAGCTTTGGACCTCTCAACTGTGTCCTCTGCTTCATGAATTTCTACCTACCTGGGTACATGGCTCAGGACTCTTTCCTTTGCTTCAGAGGAAGGTGCCCAAACACAGCTTAGAGACCATGTGCTTATTGGAAAATGAAATGACTATTTCTTGAGGTTATCACTGTGACCACTGATACTTTTATTCTGGTACTATAAAGGAAAGAAATTGAACTTTGATGTGTAGGTCCTGTCATTCTGTATCACTGAATTACAGCACCATTAATCTAAAGTGAAGGGCATATATCACTTCAAGAAAGGGAAAGATTAAGAACTAAAAAAATGACAGTAACATTTTCTTCTCTTTAACAAAAACTGCCCATGACATTTTCTTGAAAGCAAAACATCTGAAACTCATTCATGCAGTGTAGAAATTCCCAAAAGAAATTCTGCACAGGAAGAAAATTATACTATTAGGAATTCTGATTAATTAGGAACTCTGAAGGGAAGCTCTGCTCACCCAAGAAGACCAGGTTTTTGTAGGTCTCTAGCATCACATCTCTGTATAAATTCCGCTGAGCAGGCTCCAGGCATTCCCATTCCTCTTCAGAGAAATCAATGGCCACATCCCTGAATGTCAACAGTTCCTGAAACAACAATAGGTAAATTAATAGCACATAGACCATTTGATCATCTACAGAGTGTTTCAGTTGACTGAAGTTGAAATGAGAGTTAGCAGACCTGGCTGTCAAATAGGGGACTGACTTTAATTATTTAGGAAAATACTTTTTAACATAGTGATATTTTCTATTATCTGACTCTGAGGAAAGTATCATATCCAAAAAAAAGTATATAAACTCCACTTTTATGAAATGTGAAATTAAGGCATTAACACAAGAATATACATTTTAATCGCAATTTTATATTTTATAAGATAAATTGTCTACTTCTCAGATGAGGTATTTCTTATGGTAAGAAGGGTGATTCTTAAATTTTAAATGCAAAGCCATGAATTACAGATTTACTAAAATGCAGACTCTGATCCACTAGTTCTGAGATGGGTCCTGGTTTCTTCAATATGCAGGAGTGATTCCAATCTAGTAGTGCCAGGGCTCCAAGAGAAACTTCTGAAGAGCAATGAGGTAGACCACTGTAGGAAAAATCACTGCTACATCTGAGTTCAAATATTTTAATGAATTTATGTACTTTTATTAAAATAGCAACTATCAACAACAATCCTTTTCAACCACTTCAAATATATACTTTTCACTATGTAAGAGTTTTTCATGTCTTAACGCATAAAACTAAAAGAATGTGATAGCAATAACAGTGTTCATCTTTTAAGACATTTGGTGAAACAACTAGTAAATGTTAGAGCCTTATTTTCACCCAAGTTTATTTGACTTGTAATTCAGAAGAAAATGCAGTATTAAAGTCAATTTAAAGTGTGAATGTTAGAAGAATGTTTCCAGAGAAGGGCAGTGATTAAAAATGAGAAGACTAGGGGCTGCTGTTGTAGCTCAGTGGTAGAGCACTTGCCTAGCACGTGTGAGGCCCTGGGTTCGAACCCAGCACTACGTAAAACTAGATAAACAAAATAAAGATATTGTGTCCATTGGGGCTGGGGTTATGGCTCAGTGGTAGAGCGCTCACCTAGCATGTGCAAGGCCCTGGGTTCGATCCTCAATACCAAATAAAAATTTTAAAAAAAGGTATTGTGTCCAAATACAACATATATATATATATATATATATATTTTTTTTTAAAGATATTGTGTCCATCTACAACTAAAAATATTTTTAAAAATGCAAAGAAACAAGATCAAATTGATTAAATGATATTTGTGTTTCACCTATACACACTATAAGTGTCAACTTTATATACTGAAACAACAATTTCTCATGCAAATGAAAATAAGTCCTATATTCCGTCTTATAAAATTTATAAATCAATTTGGGATGAATGCTACTTTAAAAGACACTGTTGTGATACACACACTTGAGTAGAGAGTAAGGGCTACAGTGACTGAGTCTTTGACACTCTTCACTTTTCCTGTTATTCCAAACTTATTTTGAGGTACACTATAAATTTTCAGACCTTTGGAAACATACGAGTTTTGTTTCTTTCATGGGAAATGCAAGGAGGTTATGAGGTTATGTCTGTGAGCTGCAGGTGGGATGAACTGAAACCTCCAGTTGGTCAGCTTCAGCAGCTCCAGGAATAAAGGAACGTCTGTGGCAGACCTAAGGCAGAGTTGCATTCCCCAAAGCGAGACACAAAGAAAAACACTAACATTAAATATGATGGTTTATGTAGATTATTTAGAAAAATTCTACCAAGATGCCTATAAGAGAAAGAGAAAAACTAACTTTATAGGGAAAACCTGGCAGGCAGCATTCCTACCAAGCCAATAAGGATAAAACAGCTGTAACAGAACAAATTGGTACAACATGTCAACTGACATAAAAAGACACATCACTGCTGTGGTATAAATCAAAACAACATAATATAATAGGTAACTTCAGAAGACTTTCCATGGCATTCTAGAGACTAATCATCATCTCTTCTAATCATTCTCTTCTTCTAGGACTTAATAAGTTCTTAGGGGCAACAAATGTACATTTTATTGACTCTTATGTATTTATCAATGTTGGACCATCCAGATGGAAAATAAAGAAAGCATGATTCACTTCTTCAGAAATATCTAATGACCCAAAAACATCCCCAGTGGAAATCTAGGATATCAAGACTTTCCGATGTTCATTTGTCAAAAAGAAAACCTTTTGAATTCTGTGTGTCATGTACGCCTGGCCTGGCTTAGGTGACGTGTGAGAATAGAAGGCCCCTGGTATAGGGGGTATATCTGGGCATACATATTTTATAGTTAAAGCTGACTATTCTGAGAGGAAAAGGAAGCAAAGTGGCAACCAATCACATCTTCCTCTTTCTTCTCTAGACTTCCTTCTCAGGAATGACTTCCTACAATTCAAACCCATATCTGGAAAATATGGGTCTCAAGAAACAAAACACATGGGTCCCAAAGACCTCAAGATTAAATTAACTAGAAGTCTCACTGAGCTCAGACCCCTCTGCTTCCCAATTTTATTCATTTAGTTTTAAATGAGAAAGGACCTACTATTTAATTGGTAAAATTACTCACATTCAGTGGGATTTTGTTATGTAGTAAGGATTGAATCCAGGGTGTATTTGCAGATTTACTACTAGCAACACCCATAGCCTTTTTCATTTTTTATTTTGGGACATTATCTCCCTAAGCTGCCAAGGCTGATCTCAAATGTACAATGCTCCTTCATTAGCCTCCTCAGTAGCTGGCATCCCAGGCATGCACCGCCCACTTGACTGGCCAAACTCAGTGTTTATGTCCACAGGAGGCAATAAATGTGCAAAACACTGACATACATACCTCAAGAGGAAAAGCAAGAGCATGTATCTTTTTCAGAGAATAAATGTACTATTTGGTTGCTATCTATGCAATAACAAATCATTTATTAAAACATAAATCATGTGAATGATTCTAGGATTTGTCTAACATTATCTCATATGATTTACTATTAAACTCCAATATCCAGGGGTGGGGCTGGGGCTCAGCGGTAGAGCGCTTACTTAGCACATGTGAGGCCCTGGATTTGATCCTCAGCATCACATAAAAATAAATAAATAAAATAAAGGTATTGTGTCCAACTACAACTAAAACATAAATATTTAAAAAATCCAATATCCAGATGATAAGATGTATGACTTATTGACTATCACAGGCCTTTAATGGGCGAGGAGCTGATGGATGACTTGGTAAATCTGAAATTTACCTATGCAGCTACCACTCAATTTTGAAAAACTGCACTCATTTTTCCTTAGCTGTAATGAAAGAGATTTTCCCTATTTATTATTTCTGGTAGAATTTCCAAAGCTAATCCCTGAAATTTCAATTGAAATCACTTCCTAAAATACAAAGCACCTGGTGGGGGATGTAGCCCAGTGGATAGAGGGTTTGCCTTGCAAGCACAAGGCTCTGGGTTCCATCCTCTCAAAAAAACAAAAACAAAAACAAACAAACAAACAATAACAACAACAACAACAAAACCATAGCACATGAGAAACTCACAAAGAACACTCTAGACAAAAAGATAGGCGAATAAAACATTTAAACAAAGTAATGTAAGGCTGACTTCCTTTTCTAAAATCCAACTCTGTCCTGTAGCTTCGGCTGAAGTTTCTTATGTTTGAAGCTCTACTAATAAAATACATTTTACAGTTAGGGAATAGTTGAAGCTGAAGTAAGTAAAGAAACGTTTTCGAGGTGATGAGCTCGGGAAGAACAGAGATGACTGAAAAACAGGTCAGACCCAAGGTTAAAGTCAAGACATCCTGACACCTTGGACCTTCTCCCACCCCTATTCTTCCTCGCTGAAGTACACAGGAGACTCTTGTACACCTGAGGGGTGTGGGTTTTCCTTGAACATTCGGATTCTCTCCTCGCATTTACTACTTGGAGTAAATGCAGAGAGAATGAATTCTGTACTCACCCCTCAACACCATGATCCAATTTGTAGGCCACAAAAATCTCCATGAAATGGAGGTTATGGGGAAATATTCACATCCCAATGGGTTACACTTGTAGATGTTATGGAGAAAAGGAGATGCCCCACAGCCCTAGCACAACCAGTCTTCCCCCAAGCCTCTACTCCAAGATGTCATTTTACTTATTTTTTTTAGTACCAGGGATTGAACTCATACACTCAGTTACTGAGTTGCATAGCACCTCACTTTTGCTGAGGCTGGCTTTGAACTCGTGATCTTCCTGCCTCGCTTCCTGAGCTGCTGGTACTTAAAAAAAAAAAAAGTAAAATGACATCAAAAAAGGAAGGGTAAATCTTCATAAGGAACAAACACACATGCATGAATGCCCAGGTGGCTGACACATCTCACTGACATTTACTAGTAAATCTGAATTTATGCTGTTTTTTTACTATTTTTTTTCCCAATGTGTAAAATATTCATGAAACATTAATGTCTGGAAACAAATAAAAATGACACTGTCAACATCATCAAAAGACAAACTTTAACAATTCTATTTCCATACAGCAGAACAATGAGTGAATCAATGCCCAGAGAGTGGCACGGCAGCATGTGCTCAGCACACAGAGGCAGAGAGACGGTTCAAAAAGAAAAGGAACCTTTAAAATCATCTTAATGGAATACTAATGATAAAAATAAGTTATGGAAAACTCAAAAGTCATACAACTAAGCAAAAAGATTTTTAAGAAATACATGGTAAAATTGTGAGCAGTAATAAGAGACAAGGACTGTCATCGTGCCTGTGGCATAAGGAGATCAGTGGGACACAATGGAACTGCCAGCACCCATGTTTACCTAATGGGGACCCACGGGTGTTTAGATTCTCATTATTTATAAACAGCATTGCTTTATGGAAAGAATTACCTTGGCTTCTTCAGAGAATTTCACCCCATTCCCTCATATTTTCAAAACATAATTAAAAATATTAAACTCAAATCATAAAATAAAAATTTTAAATACGAGGGCAAACTGGAATATATGGCCCCAAGGTTTTATGAAAGCGACAACAGAAAAAGAAGTCAGGTCAGCAACCTGTCGTCCTCGCAGTCCA